AGGTAGGATCAAATAGTCTTGACACTCATTAAAGAACCTGGAACTCTGTTAATGTGCAAATTTGGAATTCTAACTCCAGAAGCATTGAAAGAAAATGTGGTGAAGAAAACAGGCCATGCAAGTTGTATTCTTTTAAAGCTCTGTAAATAATTTGGATTGGTAGTAAGTTGTTTATTCCCAATGATATATCTTGATATGTTCAGCCTTGATTCAATAGAAAATAATTAGGGTGGGTTATAACACCTAATAGGGTCACAACCATGATCTGATGTTTTCTCATGAGTGTGGTCTGTAGGTAGATGAGAGAGAGAGAATTGTTTTGTGCTTTTAAGGACAACTCATAGTCACCCTGAACTCTGTCCTATCCTGTGCCAGCCTCACAGTCTCCTACATGCTTGAGCCCTTTGCTGTAATAATTGTGTCAGTCCATCTCCTTTAGGGTTTTCTTTTCTTTCACTGACCCTTCATCTTTACAAGCACAAAACAAAGTATGTGAGACAAAGTTTCGTTTTCTTTGCCTCTAGTGAGTATTCGAGCTACACTTTCTCCAAGACATATCTGTTTGTTCTTTTTGTAGTCCATAGACTATTGAGCATTCTTCTCCAACACCATAGTTCAAAGGCATCGATTCTTCTATCATCTTTATTTCCCACCTTTTAAATGCATAGCAAGTGATTGAAAAGACAATGGCCTGAATCAGGCACACTTCAGTCCTCAAACTGACATCATTGCTCCTCAGTAATTTGGCCAGGTCTCTGACTGTACACTTTTTCAATGCAATATGTCTCCTGACTGCTGGTACCAAGGTGTTCATTGTGAAGCCAAGTAAGATAAAGTCATTCTTCATCTGTCATGACAGTTCTCCATCTATCATGATGTTTCTGCTATTGGTCCAGTGGTGAGAATTTTTGTTTTGTTGACACTGAGATTCAATATATGCATGCTCATAAACAATCTGGAAAAGTTAGTAAGCTTTTGCTTTATCTACACCCTGCATCTGGATTCCATTTCTTTGTACTTGCTCTGGTGTCCTGCCATATTATCTACTGATGTTGGATTTATCAGTCTCTTCAGCTTTGTGAATTGTGGGAAGCCTGAGGTCTGAAACACAGCACAAATGGTAATCTCCAGCTTCTGCAAGCAAGTGAACTATTTTCTGGAGATAAATCCCAATCTCTCTCTCTCTCCCCTTCTTCCTCCCTTCCTTCCTTCTTGCTTCCTTCTTCCTTCCTCTCTCTCTGTCTAAATAGAAATATTAAAAATAGAAATAAATATGAATATATATAGTTTTGCATATGTAAATACAGTTGTTGTCATATGCCTTTGAATTATCTGCAATTCATAGAAATCCTATGTACAATAGCTCTGAACCCTGCCAATCTCACCATCTCCTACATACCTACCCCAAAAATCCCAGTTATTGTGTGAATCCATCTCATTCAGGGAGCGTCTTCCTCTCCTTCATTGTCTCTCCTCCCTTCCAAGCATGATGTCCTTCCACAAGGGCTGAACTCTCCTGGAAACATGCCCAGTGTATGTGAGACAGAGCTTCAATGAACAATTTTGTTCACCTTCTCCAGGACAGTTCTGTTTGGTCTCTTGGAAGTCCACAGTATGATCAATACTCTTCTCCAGCACTACAATTCAAAGACATTGACTTTTTTCCCTATCATTCTGAGTCATTGTTCAGCTCTGTGACTGCGTAGCAAGTAATTGTGCAGATCATTGTGTGGACCAAGTGTGCCTTAGTCTCTAGACTAGCATCATTACTCTATATTTGTATATATTTGTTGTAGTGTGCTGTTGAGTTGGAATCAACTGACACTCCAGTGGGTTTTCAGAGGCAGTTTAATATCACAGAGATTGCCCATCCTTTTCCAAAGAAGGAGCGGCTGGTTGATTTGAATCACATGCCTTTGAGATTGCAGCAAAGCTTCTTATCAGTAGGCCACCAGAGCTCTGATAGATAGATAGACAGACAGATAGATACATAGATAGATATAGCTAGCTAGCTAGATGATAGAAAGATAGATAGATGATAGAGATAGATAGGGAATTGTATAGGGATATGTATGTTTTTTATAGAGGGACACATATAGATATTGAGATAGATGATATAGATGAGATAGAGGGTGAGAGGAAGACGGAGAGAGAAAAGGAGAGGGAGGGAGAGAGAGAAAATAGATGATTGATGATAGATAGATAGATAGATAATAGATAGATAGATAATGGATAAAGGAGATAGGTGGATATATATTGCCATGGAGCTCTGGTGGCCTACTATAAGAAGTTGCGCTTCAGTCCCAAAGGCACATGGTTTAAACCCACCAGTTGTTCCATGGGAGAAAGATGGGCAATCTCCTCCTGTGTAATTAAATGCCTCTGAAAACCTACTGGAGGGTCAGCTATGGTTGGTTCCAACTCAATGGTACACACAAAAACATATCTATATTGCCATTATTATTTTATGACATCGAGCCAGAATCTACTTATAGCTAACTTTCCAGTGAGTTTTCAGAAGCTGCAAATCACACAGGATGAGACTGACCATCTTTTCTCTTGGAGTAGCTGGTAGATTCAAAGCACCTGCTTTCGGTTTGGTAGCATAAATCCTTACCACTAGGTCACCAGATATATATATATAAAACATATACCCATAAAACAAAGCATAAATATCTATGAAGCGTCACAAATTTTGCTTCTCTAGAGAACCTAGCCTGGGACGGACAGGTACAAAAAAATAGCTTAATAATACGTCTCCTTTCTTATTTTGTGGAGCCCCCACTAGCTCCAGATGCTGTGACCTAGGTTAGACTAGTCTGTGAGCCCTGTTTGTTTACATTGTTTGCAGCCAAGAAGGATTATCCAGTCAGGTATGGACCTATCAGTGAAGCCTAATTTACCTCCTGCTGGCTTCATCACTTCCATATCCTCACATTGTGCCCCTCTGGTTTCTGGAAGAGTATTTCTAAGGGGTGGCAAATAATTCTTTGAAACTGTGCAGTGAAATTAGGAATTATCTCTAAGAAACCAAGCAATGTGTGTGCTGAACTATTCAATCACCATGTATTTATTATAACTTACTCTTTAACATTACAATAGCACTGTTTATTTCATTTTTATAATGTATTTCTGGAATATTCCCAAGCCCTTGTTCCCTGTTGGAAAAGAGGTAACATTTAAAATTAGCCACAAAACCCTAAGGGATGTTACTAAAAAAAAAAAAAAGTATGCCTGCCTTAAAGCTTGCAGTCATAGCAGATATAATTGACTAATATATCTATTGTTTCTTTGACTTTCAAAAGATAAATAAACACCAACATAAAACCAAAAAAACCTAGAGCATAGAGAAGTAAATAAAACATTTTAACCTTAAGCAAGATAAAAATAAATCAAGGAAAAATAGTCTGTTAACTAGAAACATAAAAATATTAATGAGACTTACTTTCACCAAAATAATGATGAAAACATAATAACCTACCAGCTGTATGTCCTAATGTGAATGGGAAAGTTTTCAACTTAGAATATCACATTATGCATGACATGTATATATTACTGTACTGATAAAAGAAGAGAACATGTAAAAATGTTAACATTTGTTTTTCTATTGTTCTAACAAAAAGATTTTGTTGAGGGAAAGAATTCTGAAGGCTCTTCTTTTTTTTGTCTGAAGATTTTAAAAGACAAAAAGAGGGAAAACCAGAGTTTTTACTATATAATATGCCAGTCTTGTCTAAGATGGCACAACAGCCTACATTTATCTTGGGCCTAGTGTGTGGTTTCCCAGTTCCTACAATTCTGCTTTCCATTTGCTGCTATAATGCAGGTCTCTAAGCAAAAATCAAGGGAAGATAGAAAATGTAGGCTGGTCAAAGGCAGCTAAACATGCATACCATGCATCCTTCAGCGACTCACCTTGATGAAGCTGCTCTCTGAGCTTCCTGGCCTATGTCAGCACCTCCAAGCAGACCTCCCCTAGAGACAGCTGAATATCTGCTGACTAGAAGGAAAGACTCACTGCAGCAGAAATCTTCCTTCTTAGAGAGAGGACAAAAGTGAGATACTAAGAAAGGAATACTGTGGCTGTGGTGCCGCAGGAAGGATATTTCTAGGGAAACTGAAGAATTAATTCTGGGACTCTGACAAATTAATCAAAAGGGAAACAACTTCTAGACATCTGAATTTCTAGGTATCTCTAGATATATCTAAAAGAAAAAAGATGTGGCTTTACATAGGGTCCAAATAGGAATGAGTTTGGCCAGGTCTCCGTTTTATAAACAGCTGGAATCATGGTGCAAAAAGAGTCATTGACAATAATAATACTCTGTAGTTCAAAGTGCACAGCATGTACTTTCTACTATCTCATTTGGTCCTTACTACAACCCTGTGAGGTAGGCAAGACAGGTATTATGATTCCCACTACACAGATGAGAAACTGAGGCTTTCGAAATTATAAGCAATAAAAACCTAAATGAGCAAACAAAGAACAGAACAACTGTCCCTGCTAAGATGGGCCCCAGGAGCTCGAGAAGTCTGGTCACATGGTGTGGTCTTTCTAACCCTATTCCATTCTCACATCTAACCCATTTTAGGGACACGCTCCCCATGTCCAAAACAATCAGAAAAAGTGAGTTAATTTAGCATTTCTCAAATCATGCTCAAAAGTGTGACGTTAAGGGGCCCACAACAAAATGAGCTCCTGAAAAAATTACAAGTCTCAAGTGCATGAAATGAACTCAAATTAGAATGAAAACATTCTCTGGAGAAACCTTTGAAATAGTTGACCAGTCAGAGTCCTAATTGCAGTATTGTCCATGGAGATTCTTATATTTAACATTTTAACACAAGTCAACAGTACGTCACCATTAGCAAAGGGAAAATGGTGGTTACAAAGAGGGAGGGGCAGAAGCTGTGACATCTGTGGGCTCTATAGTGATCAATTGGGATAAGTTTGGTTTTCCTGTAGGCCACTGTGATGCAGGTACCATGAGAGTTTGAAGCTAACGGCCATGTTGACCATTTGAAATGAGATTCTTATCAACTTCAAGACCATTTTTTAAACAGTCTATGTCTTTGCCCCTGGGAAACTCCTCTTCTGCATCATCATCCTCCTCTTCATCTTCATCCTCATCATCACTCCGCACATCTTGGATATTCTAGATAAAAGAAAAAATTAATTGTGACTGACAAAAATGCAGGAAGATATATCTGTTCTTTTGACAGTAACTTTGGGAGTCTACATTTTAGTCTAGAAGTATGCATTATACTATACAAAATACTTCCTCTGTGAAAAATCTGCACGAAAACATGACTTTTGAAAAGAACCAAAAAAATCAACATACACTCATTATGTACAATTCTACAAAAAGTACACCTGTTGGACATAATCAACACAATTTTCCCCACTGTTCCCTCCCCAACTCTAACTTGACATAGAAATTGAAGATTACATTGTTGTTGTTCTTATATACTGTTAAGTGGGAACTGACCCATACCTGACCCTCCAACAGGTTTTCAGAGGCAGTTAATCACATGGGAGGAGACTGCGCTTTCTTCTCCCTCAGAGCAGCAGATAGATTTGAACTATGTGCCTTTGGAATTGCACAGTTTCTTACCTCTAGGCCACTAGAGCTCCCTAAAACATTAATACTTTTCTCATAGGTCTTATTAAATAATTGTTGTTGTTTATTGTTAAGTGCCATTGAGTCATAGATGACTCATAGTGACCCTATGAACAAAAGACCTGAACATTTGTATAACTTTCATCATTTTTCCAAGTTCACAGGGTTTCCAGAGGCAAGTTATTTCAGAAGAGGATGCCCGTCCTGCTTCCAAGCTTGTTTTAATCAAGAAGCTCCACCAAACACTGTACACCATGGGTAATCATTATTGCATTTGACATATCATTGTCACAGGGTTCAGCATCACAGCAACCACGAGTTACCTCTGTACAGCAAATGGACACACCAGTGCTATACCACTTAGAAGAATGTTTGATCAAAAACAATTAAAACCAGGCCTGAGGGCCACAGATTAAAATCACCCACCTTTTAATTTGTAGCACAACTTTCTATCCATTAGGGCAACTGAATTCTCTCATTTTTTTTTTGTTGTTAACTGCCATTGAGTCACAGATGACTCATAGCGACCCTATGAACAAAAGACCTGAACAATTGTATAACTTTCATCATTTCTCCAATCTCATAGAGTTTCCAGAGGCAAGCTATTTCGAAAGTGGATGTCACTCCTGCTTCTGAGCTTAGCTATAAGTTCATTCTTTTGAACATCACACTTCCTAATTACAGTTGACTTATTTAAAAATAAAATGGCTCCCCTGCAGCTCTGACCCACGACCCCCATCTTCAGGTATTACATTGCTCCCCCCCGACCCGGT